TGCTGGTGTATAAAAATCCCCAAGAATTATTAAGTTAAACAAAAATGGAAAAGGAGGAAGAGGAAAAAAGAAGGAAGGACAGTTCAGAATAGTGTGTAGTATGTGCCATCTTTGTGGGGGGTTAAGGCCATATACACGCATATGTGCTGGTATGTACATAATGTTTTAGAAAGATACACAAAAGGTCATTAAAACGTTGTTTTCTGAGCCAATTGAGTGCTTTTACACAAATTAGAAAAGGGAACCCCTTGTCTCTGGGTGGACACTGCCCAGTGGCAGGGCACACAGCTTGGCAAACAGACAAGAGGATTTCAGGCCCTACCAGTCCTTCTATTGGACAGTGAGGACTGGTGGCTTGGAGTGGGGAAGGGGGCTCCTACTTTATAAAAAGGAGACTTTTACTCTACAATGAAAACTTTTCTATAGTATTTGACTCTTGATAGCATGACCTTAGTGTATGCCTTTTATATCTGTTTCACATACATATATACAGAAGCATGTTGACCACGTTTTATTTTCTTCCTAATAACATGGCTCTGCCCTGAGAGAGTAGGATATCTGAATTCACCTTTCAGGCAAGCCTTTCTTTTGTTCTGCAAAAACTGTTTGACTGGGTTTTAGTTAACAAAATGGAAAGATTATACACAATCATTGTACCCAGAGAAAATCAAGATTTCCCATAAACCTGCATGCAGATGTCTCTGATTCTGGAAGCTGGGCCTTCTGTTGGGTAATACAAATAGTGGTGCACAATTAAGCTTAGCACGGGTCTGTAAAACCCTGTGAGTTAAGGGGTACCTGGGAGGAATGTTCTCTGGTTCGGTAAGGATTTAGATCCCATATGCTACAAAGCTTTTTGGTGTGGATGGAGCCATTCAGAGCAGTGGTTCTTAACCTTCCTAATGCCGCGACCCTTTAATACAATTCCTCATGTTGTGGTGACCCCCAACCATAAAAATTATTTTCATTGCTACTTCATAACTGTAATTTTGCTACTGTAATGAATCGTAATGTAAATATCTGATATGCAGGATGTATTTTCATTGTTACAAATTGAACATAATTAAAGCACAGTGATTAATCACAAAACAATATGTAATTATATATGTGTTTTCTGATGGTCTTAGGCGACCCCTGTGAAAGTGTCCTTCGACCCCCAAAGGGGTCGCAACCCACAGGTTGAGAACCGCTGGGTTAGACAATCATATACTTTACAAAGCATTTCCCCCCAAATTCCAGTACCCACATGGAACTATTGGGAGGTAGTACATAGTTATTACAGAGTAACTTCCCACCTGCCCGCTATTAGTATTAATTACAATAAGAAAATCTCTGTTTAATCTGGATTTAGGATTAAAGAAAGTCTCATATTAAAGCAACTCTTTGCAAACAAAAAGAGCAGGGAACTTCCTCCTCCTCCTTTATCCCTGAATCTTAACCTCGGGTCTTTTGCAGCTTTAAGTTTTATTTTATGTACCCTAAATTAGTAGCACTAGTTATTGGTCATTTAATCTCCAGTCTAATAGCAATTTGTGAAATATTATTTGGTTCATGTGACATCTTTTGTATCTTATATCTTAAACTGTTTTTTGGGGTCCTAAACTGAAACTAGTTTTAATGTTTTAGTTTGTGAAAGTAATACAAGCTAATTTTTAAAAATTCATATGATCCAGATAGGTAACAAGTGAAAACTACTCATAATTCTTTGCTGGGAACAGGGAAGATCAGAGAGCTGGGAGGATCCGAAGAAGGGGATAACTGATTTAAGGTTTTAAGATGAAGAGACCTGGGGGCTGGATCCTCATGCAAAATAGAAATTCACCAGGCAAAAAAAGTGAGGAACAGCAGCCTGGTAGTGGAACAGCAAGTACAAAGGCTCACAGGTGAAATTGTCTGGGGTGTTGGGGTCTAGTGAGAAGTTGAGAGTGGCAAGAATTGGGGTATTGGAGGGAGGGGTGTAGTAAAAATTTAAGCTTGGGGTGCAAGGAGTTAAGGTCTGTGTTAGGCCCAGGAGATGGGGTTTATAAGCGGTGGGAAGCCCTTTCAGAGACCTTTGCTCAGGGGTGTGTCCTGACTGGGGAGAAGAATGGATTAGGGGGAGGCCTGGGCATGGGGACGCTGCTGGCTGGGAGATCAGTATGAAGGCAACTCTCCTGGGCCCCAGCCCAAGCCATGGCCATGGGATAGCAAAAGCACTGGGGTAATGTTAGGAGTGTCCTTTCAGGCCTCATCTGGGCAGAAGAAACACTTGATGGCCACAAGGCCAGCAGCTCTCAAAGAGAAATTTGCCTGGACACAGTGCGGTGCCCCGCCATATTGGGGCCTAAGGCAAAATAAATCAGCAGTACTAGTCCCATCTTCAGTTTTGTTTAAATCCTCACCCAAGGATAGGTTTTTATTGATTTTTAGTGAAAGATAAGGAGAGAGAGAGAGAGAAACATCAATTTATACATTCATTGGTTGATTCCTGTATGTGCCCTGTCCAGGGATTGAACCTGCAACCTTGGTGTACTGGTATGACACTCTAACCAAATGAGCTACCCAGCCAGGGCTAGTCCTGTCTTCATTTAAAATGTCAATATTTTCTTCATCAGGGATTTTTTTGTATTAATTTTGATTTTTAAGATATTATACTAAATACAGTAAAATATTATACTAAATAATTTTTAAAATATTATACTTAATACTGAATTCGTGATAATTCAATTGATGTTTCTTCCTTTTCAGGTTTAACTCACTGGAATTAAAAATTATACAAAGTTTATATACATTTTTTGGGACACCCTATATTGTTTATCTTGATTTACTGATTTTGGGGGGCTCCCCTTAAAGTTTAAGGTTATTATTTGTTTTACACAAGACATGTGTTTGTTATTTATTCCAATACTCTGTGAATGCACACTGAGCGAGGCATATGCAGGGCGCAGAGCTAAGCTCAACACAGATCTTGCCCTCTTGGACTGTAATGCAGGAGAGAGGTCCTGGACTAAAATCTTGTGACTTGTGTGAAACCTGGGGACAGGTATCGGCAGAGAAGGGTGATTCACACAAAATATCTCCCTTTGGGTAATTTCTGTCTCAAAGCTGAAGTCTCTGGCCCCCATCCGTCATTTTGAAACAGAATGGCACTTTTTAGTGACTAAGCTGGTATCTGCATGCAGCAGAACTTGTCCCCAGTTCCCCCTCTGTCCTTTTCATAGCCTCCGGCCCAACTTCCCCCAGCCTTGCCTTGCTGTGACTTTATTGATGTTATATTTAGCTTTTCAAAGTAGGCAGCCAAGCTTGCTTCCATCTGGACAGTGAGTCCACGGTGGAGCCGGCACAGAAGTTTTGACAGTCCCTTCCATGGGTGATAATCCGAGGCAGCCTCCCAAGGCTGAGTTGCTACCCCCAATGCCATTCACAGATGGAGGTGCTGAGGCCCAGAGAGGTCATCCTGCTTGTCTCAGATCACACAGCTTTGAGAGCCTGCTCCTAATTTTGCCTGTCATTAAGGTAGTCACAGAAATTTGGCAGTGTGGCAGCCTTAAGGAATGTCCTGGGTCAACCTCCTTTCTTGTAAGGGAGGAAACTGTACTGTAGGGAAATGTTGCCATTGCCCAAGATGAATTAGCTGAGGAATCCCCCAGCTCTTTCCCTCATACCCTGTTTTTTTCCCTTTCCAGACATGGCTGGAGTCTCCCGCTGGAGGATCAGCTTTTCCGTGGCAGGGATTTCTTCCACAGCCCAGAGCCACAGTCACAGGCAGAGCCCAAGAAGCCACACCAGTCAGACTCCGTTAATCAACGGCAGCAATGGTGAAAGCCAGCACTTACTGAGCATGGATTATGTGCCAGGTACTTTGCAGGCATTATCTCATTTAGCCCTTACAATTCTAGGTAGGTCCTATAATCATCCCCATTTAAGAAAATTGGGATAAAAAATAACCACATAAAATGACCACCTTAGCTATTTTTATGTGTACAGTTCAGTAGTGTATTCACATACACATTGTATATGCACATTGCTGTGATTATCCCAGTTTTATAGATGAGAAGTTTTCTCCAGGAAGTTAAGTAATTTCCCCTAGGTCCTTCACCCAGCAAACTACAGAGATGGGACTCAAAGTCAGGCTATCTGACACGAGAACTGTGGGGAGCCGATATAAGGTTAAGCCTTGGACTGACCTGTTGGCAAAGTCACAAACAAGTCTTCTCCGAGTCTTAAACAACCCAATCCGAGAGGTGGCCACTGATTTACACGCGCTGTCATTTAAAAAATAAAAATGGGGGAATTTGCCGGAAGCCGGTCCACCCTTGCTGCTTGACACAGTCGCTGCAGGGAAGAAACATCTGCACAGCTTATGTTTCAAGGGACCTGGCGTATATGGCATATGTTTGCTCCCCCTCTTAGCGCTATGTGTTTTAAACAGACCCACCTCCCCGAGAAAGGTTGTTTCCCCAGGTGGGGATTTTTTTCCCGGGAGTTAGGGATTAACAGGACTAAGGAAGGGAATAAATCTGTAAAACCCCTTAACTAAGTGCCAGGCGGGTAGTTAATCACTTTAACTACCAACAATCACGCTTAAACTACATAATCTTTACTTAGGATAATCTCCTTCAGTTACTTCCTTGTAACTTAATAGAACAATAGAGTAATCTTGGAATGGAGATAAGAAACGCCCTAACCTTTGGGATAGAATGGATAGGATTAAAATCAACTGGTATAAATACAGATGTAACAGGACAATAAAGACAGACCTGGCTGTGATGATCAACTGAACGCTGCCTTGGTGTCATTCCTTCTTTGACTCGGAGGTGGTGGTAGCTGCGGCCTAGGTTGTCTTCCAGTCTCCTCAGCTCGCCCTCTAGCCAGCATCTCTCCCCTTCCCTCCCCCTTCCTTTTTCCCTCCTTCCCTTCCCTTCCTTCTTTTCCTTCCCAGTCTGTGATCAGCGGTGGCGGCTCCAGCAAAGGCTGGGCCCGATCTGTGAAGAGGCCTTAGCCAACCGATAACGGCCACTGCGACACCTCGGAGCTCGCAGGGCGGCGGGAAGGCCCGGGCCTTGGAGATGGAGAATTCCCAGTTGTGTAAGCTGTTCATCGGCGGCCTCAACGTGCAGACGAGTGAGTCGGGCCTGCGGGGCCACTTTGAGGCCTTTGGGACCCTGACGGACTGCGTGGTGGTGGTGAACCCCCAGACCAAGCGCTCCCGTGGCTTCGGCTTCGTGACCTACTCCAACGTGGAGGAGGCCGATGCCGCCATGGCCGCCTCTCCCCATGCCGTAGACGGCAACACGGTGGAGCTGAAGCGGGCGGTGTCCCGGGAGGATTCGGCGCGGCCCGGTGCCCACGCCAAGGTGAAGAAGCTCTTTGTCGGTGGCCTGAAAGGAGACGTGGCCGAGGGCGACCTGACCGAGCACTTCTCGCAGTTCGGCACCGTGGAGAAAGCCGAGATCATTGCCGACAAGCGGTCCGGCAAGCAGCGCGGCTTCGGCTTCGTGTATTTCCAGAATCACGACGCGGCGGACAAGGCCGCAGTGGTCAAGTTCCATCCGATCCAGGGCCATCGCGTGGAGGTGAAAAAGGCCGTCCCCAAGGAGGATATCCACTCCGGTGGAGGCGGAGGCGGCTCCCGGTCGGGCCG